TGTTGCTTACACTCCGTGAGTAGGAAAGGCATGTCCTTAAGCCTAAAAACATACTGGCACCAAGAAAACTAGGACCTTTTGAGCACAGAAACTGGGACGTCATCCTCTAAGCAAGGTTTTCCTCTCCAAGTAGGTGAGTCACACAGGAGAAGTAATTGGCAGGGAATGAAGCGGGTGGTTACTTAGGATTCTATGGTGGCATTATAGTCCAGGACACTAGGCCGCCAGGGACACCATGTTTAACAGGAATGACAGGTCTTTAGAAGGAGGATTTATCCTTTATTATTAATATATGAATGGACTCTCCCTTTAAAAAACTGTGTGGGCCAGTAGGCAAGTGTGATGCACAGGAACCTGAAGTCTGGGGGCCACTGAAATTTTTCCTCCCTCCCTCCCCAAGTCTAATTCATTGTCAAGTCCTGTAATTCCACTTTGCAGGTATCTGTCACATCCATATCCAAAGCTTTCATCCGAATTGTTTGTTAATGTATTTTCCTTTCACGGAATATGGCAACAGCCTGTTAGCTGATTATTCTGTCTCCTGTTTCCCTCTCCTACCCATCCGCCACAGGGCCTCGAGGAAGATCCTCCTGAAACACAAGTATGATCATGTCATGATCCTTCAGCACTGCTCTGCACCTGTGGGGTAAAGTCTAGGCTCACACAGGATGGGAACCAAGCTCCCCTGCCCCACACTGCCCAGCCCTCCATGCTACTCACCTGCCTGGGGCTCCTCTTGCTGCCTCTGCCTCTGCCTGGAATATGCTTCTCCCCTGGTCCACCGAGTGGAGCCCTGTTGGGAGGCCCAGATGAAGTATCTTCTCTGTCAAGTCTTCCCCAGCCTTCCCCCCAGTATCCGTCAAGCCAAACAAGGCTTTTCTTAGCCACCCCTGGAATGTAGCCTGGACCACAATGCTTTACATACTGGGTTTCTGGGTTTGATGCCCCTCTGAACCCCAGACCAAGCTCTGGAAAATGGAAATCACATTTAGTTAATCTCTGCAGGCCCAGATCCCAGGATGGGGCCAGGCACATAGTAGGAGTACAATAAGGGTGTGTTGATTGCCTGATTGTAGGAGACAGAAATGGGAGGTTGAAGACTTAGTCCTCTGAAGCGAAGTGCTGGGAGAGAGTGGCATACCTTATATCTTTTATAAATACAAGTTCACGATGCCTTCTGGCTGCAGTCTTGACTGGGACAGCGTGCCATGGAAGCCTTCTCTTTTCCTAAGATCTGCTCTTACCCGTCGGAGAAATATGACTGACCTGGTCATGAAACGAGCACCTGTTTCTGTGTACAGCCCTCCACCCCTCGGTTACCTGGTGAACAAACCACTGATGTGTTTACCTTTTTAATAAATGTGGCCACGGATACCTCGGCAAGCTGCCCCTTTACCTCCCTTCCCTGCCCCCAGCCATTTAACCTGACTTGGTGCGGTTTCCAGCATCAGTTCTTTTTCTGTGGGCCCTTCACCATTACTAAGTAATTGATCACTTCATCAGACTCAAAGCCAGGTTTCTGAAGCCAAATGCTATGTTCTTCCTCACAAACCACCTTGTCCCTCTTCTAGGCTGGTGTGTCCCTCCTGCACCACACTACTCACACTAGACCTAAGGAGAAGTAGTCTTCAGTCGTTTCCTTCACTCACTCATTCAGTCTTTCATCAAAATGCCAGATGATAGGATATGCAATTTTACCCAAAGAGACCTCAGTCTAGTGACAAAAACGTACTTAAAACTGAATTATTGGCCAAGCGTGGTGGCTCACACCTGTAATCCTAGAACTTTGCGAGGGTGAGGTAGGAGGATTGCTTGCGCCCAGAAGTTTGCAGTGAGCTATGATGACACCACTGCACTCTATAGAGCCCAGGCAACAGAGTGAGGCCCTGTCTCAAAAACAAAAGCAAACTGAGTTATTATAAGAGGAACAAATTGCCATGGAAGCACAAAGGGGAGCTTAATTAATGAGTTGAGGAGCAGGAGCAGGTGACATTCCAGCTGGGTCTTAAAAAGCGAATGGTTGTCCTCAAGGAAGAGAAGAGCGTTCTCGGCAGAGGGAGCGGCAGAAGTAGAGGCCCGGGGATATGAAAAGGGACGGCAGGTCTGAGAAATTGAGGCTTGGGGTGCACAAGCTGCTGGGTGCTTAAAGGCAGGGGGAGGGAGATCCCTGTCTCCCAGGGGTTTTCTTCTGAGCCGAGGCTGGGCGAGAACGGCAGGCGCTCCCTACAGCTGCTCCCAAGGCCCCGCTCTGCCCTACAGGTGCTCCCACGGCTGAGCGAGGTTCCCAGGGCTGTTGGCACTCCACCCACTCCCACCCGCTCAGGCGGGTGGCATCCCAGAAGGAAAGAGGCAGGGGAGGAAGCAGATAAGAAAGACAGCTTCTGTTTAGACACAAATATCTTGGTAATCAGCACAGATGGGATGAGAAATACCAAAAAAGTACATGACAGTTTAGAGAGAATTTGGCTAAATGTTACATATTTTTTAACATACCTGTGTAGAGTTTTTGGAACAAGCACCTGAGTCCCTCAGAACATGATTGGAGATGGGAGGCATGCCTCATTCAAATGGTGTTTTTATTTCAGAAATGTTCCCTTCCCCATCCACAAAAGTATCCTTGTGATTTTTTTTTTCTCTCCCACCAAAATAAGGCGCAAGATTTGTCTCTGACGCTGTGTCTCCCTATTTGGACGGCAAGCTGTGTAACATATTTCTCCCCAGCGTGAAGCTTCTTGGCAGACTCTTGAGGCCACGTTTTGGTGGCTTCAGAGTTATCTTTGGATCTGTCAAAAGTGCTAATGGGCTTTCTGGCCTTCTTTAAGCTCCTCATTTCTATTTTCTTTTTACTTCCATCCTCTCCTAAAAGAAAAATTCATGTAATTCATCAGCAGTTAAGCTTTTACTGAAATGCTCAGCGAAGGGCCTCGTATTTTTGTTTGCGAGGAGAGCTCTGCCATGTCACAGTCTTTGGTACAAACCCCACCCTGACATCATTAGCTCAGCGTTCCTCAGTCCACCGAGCAAGATATGCTGGTTGACTTCCTCAGTCTGCCTTTCGTGTGTGTTTTGTTTTTTCGCTGGGTTTGTTAAGAGGCAAGTTGATGTCGTGGTTAGAGTGTGAGTTTTGGATTCAGGCGACCTGGTTTTGAAACTTGGCTCTGCCCTTTCTAGCCGGGTTACCTTTAGAAGACTACTGAACCTTCCTGAGCCTGTTTTCCTATCTATAAAATGGAGATGATAATGCCTGTCTCAGGGTTGTTGAGAAGATTAGAGAGAACACAGGTCAAGTACCTATTGCCTGGCACGTAAGGATTGCTCAATAATTGAGGTAACGATAATTTTTAACACAACAACTGCCCCCTTTATTTAGGCATATTTGATCTTTTTTTGCCAAATATGATTTTTACCCACAATTTTGAGTGGCATTAAAAAAGTATACAAGTTTAGAAACAGACCCACCCAGGACCGAATCATGTCTTACCCACTTACCGTGTGACCTTTGTCAAGTTACATCGCTTCTCTGTGCCCTTGTTTTCTTGTCTCTATATGGGGATGATAATACCTAGTTCAAGGAGTGGTTTCACGATTGAGTGAAATAATATACGTAAAGCTTTGTACGTGGTAGATGTATTTAAGAGGGACAGTTTAGTGTAAGGAAAAGTATGTGGGCTGTGGAGTCACATCTGACTCCACCAGTTACTCTCTCCAGACTTAATTTCTTCATCTATATATTGGAAAGAATAATACCTCGTTGGATTTTTGTGAAGATTGCATAAGATTACACGTGTGAAGTGTCTGGCACAGTGGCTGGCACTCGATAGGTAGTCAGTATATGGAGCTATTAATTCACTTGCTCTTTATTTATAAAGGTTGACGGTTAACTGGGTACTCCAGTCAAACAATAATAAATCATAAGATAAGTGCCCATTCTTATTCCCAGCCCGTAATATTGTTGAAAAGCACTTTATGCTATTTTGCATGTAAAATCCACCCGGTTTACTTCAATTTATGGGTTATAGATCTTTAATCATTATAAACCACAACCCCTGGCAATAGCGTTCCTCCCCTCCCCACCCCTTGCACTTTCGGAGGATTATATTGTGTGGCATTGAAAACCTTGCTGAGGTTAACATTGAGGAAATTAGCATATTCATGTGTATGATTAAAGTCAGGTGGGTATAGAAAAGATTGTATAAATGAAACACATTACATTTTTTCTGAAATCTGAAGAGTGCCAATCTATAGTACTAATTAAAAGAATGAAACCCGGGCTATGGAAAAAAGCTAGTTAAAGCACTGCTTTGTCACAACTTGCTGCTGTTTGTCTCCAATTTTTTTTCCCCTTTTGAGTGAAATACCTGGAAATTGTAAATCTTCGAAATTGCTTTAATTCCAGCTGAGGCGTTTTAGCGAATGTAAGCTGCGAGGGGCGGGGGGGACCAGCAGTGATGACAGGAGAGGAGCACACCCGGCTTCGCGGGTGGCATCTCCTGCACAGAAACAGGCTCTGTGCCAGAAGCATCTGGCCCCCTGGGTACTTTCTTCTGCTTAGACGTCTGGTACAGTACGTCGGAAAGGTTCTAGGATCTGGGGTCCAAAGATCCGAGTGGCAGTCCTGTCTTTGTTGCTTATTAGACTGTTGGAACTTGGCAAAACTCTCTGAGCCTTGGTTTCCTCATTTGTAAAATCATAGAATCCCTGTTCTGCTCACCTGACACGAAGGACAGATGTCGTGCCGTATGCCACCTCGTGTCATAAACTGCGATCACCACACAAAGATGTGATTGCTCAGGCTCCTTCCTCTCTAAGGTCTCTTCCGACTTTATATTTCATGATTTTATACATGAATGGGATTTGGCCTCCCAGGTAGAAAGCACAGGACAGGGGAAGAAGAAAGTATGCTTTCTGATTATTTTCTGTTTCTCACGCTTTTATTAGATACTGTTTGTAATGAGAACAAACAAAATAAGCCACAAACCTTGCCTTCTTCTTTCTCCTAGAGAAATCTGACAGAATATTTTGTGGCTGTGGATGTAAACAACATGTTGCATCTGTACGCCAGTATGCTCTACGAACGCCGGATCCTCATCATTTGCAGCAAACTCAGCACTGTGAGTAGACAGTCCTGACACGGACTTCTCAGTGATTTAATTTTAATTGAAAGATGGATCGGCAAGATTAAAGAAAATTTAGAAAAAGGAATCAGCCACAATCCCTGTATATGGTAACATGTCATTTTCATTAATTATTCATGTTTTTTTACAGTGCCAATACACATTTCATTTATTCTTAGTCTCACAATCAATTATAGCTTCCCATTTGATTATGTGTTATGAACATTTTGCATATTTCTACATAAGCTTCTTTTATTGTCATTTTTAAATGTCTGTACCATATTCCATTATACTGATATTTCATCATTTACTAAATCTTTCTTTTCTTTATGGCCATTTAGGTTGTTCATAGTTTAATCCTTCAGTAAGTAATACTGTAGGGAACATTTATTGACTGATATAGTCCATATTCTAAGAGTGGGACACCAGATCAAAGGACTGCCAGATTCCTTCCCAAACAGGCTCTGCTTTCTGCAGTAAATGCTGTCAGCTGTATATGACTGTACCAGTTTCACTGCAGTCTTGCTAGAATTGTGTGTGTGTGTGTGTTTGTGCAGGTGTTTTAATTTTGCTAATAAAGTAGATATAAATTGGTATTTCCAGTTTGCTTTAATTTTAATTTCTTCAGTTAGAGGTAACTGAACATTTTCCATGGGTTTATTTCTATTTGTATTTTGTTAATGTCTTTTGCCATTTATTTTATTAGGGATCTTGATGTTTTTCTTATAAATTGGAATGAACTCTTTATATAGTGTAATAACTTTTGCTGTATTTATAATATAAATATTTTTCATATCTTTTTATTTCAGCTTTTTACTTGCTAAATATAGTTTATACTTTCCCTAATGTCTTATTATGAAAATTCTCAAGCTTTATGGAAAGTTGAAATCATTTTGCTGTGAATGCTGATATAATTCCATCTAGATTCTGCCAGTAACAGTTTCCTGCAGTTGCTCTGTCCCATGTTTATCTTTCTATCCATCCTTCATACCGTCTATCAATCCATCTTATTTTTTGATGCATGTCAAAGTAAATCACAGACATCACTATATTTCCCCCTAAACAATTCAGTATCTTTGCACAGTTTTTTGTTGATGATGTTGTTTTTCTTTTTACGTAAAACTTACCTACAAAAATCGCCTGGGACTGGAATGCCTAACAGGCATCCTTCTTTGAGAGAGGGTAGAAAAACCTTTTTATAGTGAGGAGTTCCCTAATGAGGGGCCAATGGATAAAATCAGTTATGTGTTTACCTATGAATAAAAACAACACCTAATAATGAAAACTTATGAAACTATTAGAGTTTTCCTTAAGGTTTTCATCATAACTTTATTATTTTATTTCTTTGGTTATTGATTTCTTGTTAAGAATTCACATTTTTTTTTGGTTGCCTGCTATGTGCTAGACGTATAGCACATAGTAGGTGACAGAAACACAGCCCTTGACCTCAAGGTAAGAACAACCTATAGCAGACCTCTTGTTTTTGTTTTGCATTTTATTTTACATTATAAGTGCTGTTCATAATCTCAAGACATGAACACCCAGAATGAGTTTCAGATTAAGAATATTGCCAACCTGATTTATCATCACCTATTTATGAGACCAAATGGAATGAGGGTACATTTGAAAGAGTCTAGCCCATAGCTAGTTACTGTTGCTTTGGATTATCAACCTTAGTCAAACAAAATCAGGGCATCATCTCAGTGGAACTGAATTCTCTATAATCTAATAATGATATTTTTGAGCCCTTTAATCTGTGCCAGGTACCATCCTAAGCACTTTGCATATATTAACTGATTTAGTCTTTACTACAACTTTGGTGAGTTCTGTTATTACCTCCATCTTACCGATAAGGAAGATTGTATCTTCTATGTGATTTTGTTCACAAAAATGTCTTAGATTAAACATGCAAAGTTATTTCTACTCCTTCCCAAAACTAAAATGAAATAAAGGAATAAATCTACAAAGACAAAGAACAGATGCAACAGAAATTTTAAAAATAGTAAGGCAGTACTGTTTTTTGACTTCATGCCAGTATTTGAAAAGTAACGCGAGATAGATAGAAGAAGATAATTTACCAAAGTTGACACAAGAAGAAATAGAAAAATTGAATAGGTCATTTATAGAAATTGAATCAATTCTTTAAAATATTTTTCCAGATAAGACATTCAGCCTAACTTGTTTTATAGCTATTTTTTTTTTATCAAATATCTCAAGGAACAGATAATTTCAATCTTAGACTCCTTACGAGTCTAGATCAAAGAGAGAATACAACCCAGCTTTTCTTGTGATACCTGTATAACCTTGACATTCAACAACACAAGGAGACAGTACAAGAAAGAAAAATTATCAGCCAATGTCACTCATTAATGTAGGTGTAAAAGTCTTAAAATAGTAAACAAATGTATAAAAAATAAAATTTATAATAAATAAGTTGGATTAATTCCAGAAATGTAAAGTTGATAATACTAGAAAATCCTTTAATGTGTTAATAACTTACACATTAACATAGTAAGATGGGAAACTCTTATAGTCACCAATAGATGGAAAAAGGCACGACCATGTTCATGAATAGGAAGACAATATCTTGAAGATGTCATTTTATTCTAAAATGATTATAGATTGAATAAAATTTTATTCAAAATCCCAATGGAGTTTTACATAGTACCTAACAAGCTGATTCTAAAACTAATATGGAAAGGCTGAAGAAAGGGCCAAGACAACTTGAAGGAAAAGAATGGGTTGTGGAAGCTTGCTTTATCAGATATCAAACTTTCTATAAAGCTGTAGTAAATAAGATACTGGTAGTGGCACAGGGATACACAAATAGACTGACAGAATAGAAAGCCCAGGAACAGACCATATGTACATGGGCTCTTTATATACCATAGAGTTGACATTGTAGAATCTATGGGGAAGAGGTGGACTTTTCAGAAACTTCCTATCTACATGGGGAAGAAAAGGAAGAGAATTTCTTTTGTACACATACAAAATTAAATTCCAAATGGAATTTTGAAAGGCAAAATTTAAAAACATTTAGAAGACAAAATAGAATAATCCCTGATGATCCCAGAGTAGAAAGGGGTTTATTTAAAGATGATATACATTGTATAAAGGAAAAGATTAAAATTCTGAACTTTTGTTCGTTAAAAGATACCATTCAGTGAATGAAAAGACAGTCACAAGCTGAGATAGTTGCCATGTAAAACACTGACAATTAGTATTGGAAATATATAAAGAACTACTACAATTAAAAAGCAGACAATGAGCCTATTAATAGAAAAATTAGCAGAAGGCACGAATGGACATCTCACAGAAGAAATACAAATGGGCAGTAACTATATGGAAAGATGCTCAACCACATTAGTAATCACAGAAAAGCAAATTAAAACTACAGTGATTAGAATACTAGGTTTGCAAAAATTGGGTGTTTGACAATGCCAAGTGTTGTATTGGAGATGTATTAGAGAATTTCATCACCACTGTTTGAAGGGTATGTGGTACAAAATTATTTGCAAATGCCCATCACTGAGCAATTCTACTGCTAGATGGAATTTTTTGTGTGGCCATATACCCCTTGGTCACATATAGTGGGATACAGGCACATGAATGTTCACAGCATCATTTTTTTTGGTTTGTTTTTTGTTTTTTTCATCCTGGAAATAGTCCTCATGATTGTAAACAGGGAACTGATAAACCATGGTATAGTCATACAATGGAATATTGTATCAATAAAAATGAATTATACTCCCAACAGGATTGTGTCTCTAATACAGAGTGCTGAGGGAAAGAAACAAGTCACAGAAGAATATACTGTACAGGATGATTTTATTCATATGAAGTTCAAGTTAGAAAAACTAAATGGTATATCATTTATGGATAAATACAAACTACAAAGAAAAAAAAGAAATGACTGACACAAAATTTAGGTAGTGGTTTCCTCACAGGAGGGAGAAGAGCATAGTTGGGAAGAGACATACAAGGGACATGAAAAATATTGCTTTCTGTCTTAAACTAGGTTAGGAATCAAACTTTTCTGTAAAGGGTCAAGTAAATATGGCTTTCCAGGCCATATTGTCTTTGTTGCAACTACAGGGCTCTGACCTTGTAGTTTACCGTAGGTAGACTAATGGGTGTGGCTGTGTGCCAGCAAAGCTTTATTTACAAGAACAGGTAGCAGGTCAGGGTTGGCCTTTTCATCGCAGTTTGCTGACCCCTAAGCTAGGTGGTGGTTTTGGGTTCTTAAGGGTTTTTCCTTTAAAAATTGTTTGTATGGGCCGGGCGCGGTGGCTCACGCCTGTAATCCTAGCTCTCTGGGAGGCCGAGGCGGGCGGATTGTTTGAGCTCAGGAGTTCGAAACCAGCCT